GCCACCTGGCTAGGAAAGGGGGTACAAGTCACACAAGAGAGACTGCCACGTGGCATGACAATCCACAACAAAACACCCCCACCTGGCATTGAAATTTGCCGCCCGTCAATCAGATGGCTGAAAGAACCATTAAACTGCTACCCCAAGAAAAACTGCAACGCCACACGTGTCGTGCCATGCCAATGAGGATTGACCTGCACACCACACAGATGCCGCCACGACACAACGACAGCCGCCGATCAGAACTGTGTGGCCATGCAAGGACAAGACCCATGTTCTCCGGCGGCACTTGCATTGTGTAGTTATGATGGGAACACTGTCCTCCATCATCACGAATGTATACAGGTCCCGCTCCAGTCCACATACAGACAGAGGACATGACACGTGTTCTCTAGTGGCACTTGCACTGTGTAGTTATGATGATGGGACACCTGCCTGCCCTCCATCATCATCAATGTATACAGACCCTGTTCCAGTCCAAATACCGACACAGGACGTGACACCTGTTCTCCAGCGGCACTCGCACTGTGCAGTTATGACGCCACCGGTCAATCCGGCCCATCCTTGTGATGACGAGACTCACGCCGACCCACGCAAGGACTTCCTATTGATACGGCCACCAATCCACCACAAACAAATTAGGAAATAATTAATTAATTAATTACCACATGACGGCGCGTTGACGAGTAGTTATGTAGTTATGGATCCGTACCGGCGACCGGCTGCTAAACCCTCCTCCGTGCCCCTGGACGGATTCCAACCGGCGACCTCGACCTCAAGAGCCGAGTCTCTTAACCCTTACAACTACAGCCAGGACACGGCGTGCAAAAGCGGAACCATACCCATAGCATACCGCCCATGATATCCACCCCACCCCTGCAAGGCTGCAGTGTCCAACTTGTCACACACCATACTCAACACCCACGAACATCTCTCGCACACTTCGCTCCAATCAATACGTAACCCCCACTGGTACTTCGCCCGCTCACTTCTCCGGGATACCTTACGCTGTGCTGCCCGGTAGTTCAGTGACATTAGCAAACGCTAATGCAACACTCGCCCCTGGAATTGCATCGCTCTGCGATTTCCACACCTGCCAAATTGCATCGTGGCCGACGACAAAACATCATTACGTCAAGATGTCATACCACAACGGGCCCGATGCAACGCTCTGTCGACCACGGCCGACGCCCCTTGTTTGAAATTCCGAAGCAGGCAAGTGGGCAAGTGGTGGAGTCTACCCGTGCTGAGTCAGCAGTCCCAGTCCCAGTCCCAGTCGCAGTCCCAGTCCCAGTCCTGGGAATTGCAACGGTCTGTCGAACACGGCCGACGCCGTGGAATGACATCGGGCACTGCGGAGTGCCCACCTGTGCACTCGCCCTGGCAAGCTGACGAGCGGGAAAAAAAAAATGGGGTACGATTTCAACCCTTAACCTGCAGACGCCGGGCGGTGGGTTGTGCGGCTTGGCCACGGTACAGCTTCTGCACTTGAATGCACTTGAGTGTGAAATTTGTCAATCTGGCGACTCAATCGAGCATAGCAGCAATGACACCTGTCCCACATGTGCCGTAAGTCGGAGGCTCGGAGCTTTTCCCGGCGAGCATTCACATCTGTCCAATGCATACTGAAGAAAGGGAACACATTTCCCAGCAGGATGGGACCATGATGGGACACCTGTCTCATCAATACGCTTGCTTCTCAGAAATCTTCAAACAGCAACATGCACCTGCAACAAATTCCAATTGCACCAAAATGTCGTCATGCTCCAGGATCATTCACAAACATCGACCCCCAACTTATCTTTCCCATCCCTCCCTCCATCCCTCCCTCCTCTCTCTCTCTCTCTCTCTCTCTCTCTCTCTCTCTCTCTCTCTCTCTCTCTCTGTGTGTGTGAGAAAAGAAAGTCAGCACATGAGGGAAGTGAAAG